GAAATGACTGGAAAACGTTACATGCCTCGTAATAGGCCAACAACCCTGCTTCTCCAGTATACGTTCCAGCCGCTCCTGCTCCTACGGCGGGCGCTCCTACTCCTGTATTACTGGAACTAGAGAGGGTGAAGGATCTGCCATACAAACCCATTCCCAAAACCAGTTTTTCTGGAGGTGCACCGAGATTAATCCAGTAGTTCACCGCGTAATCCTGCGCAAATAATGAATGAAAGATGCGAGGCAAGTACATTCAAAAGATCTATTAGCGAGGAAATCATACCCGAACTGACAAACCTACCACATTCATATATGCAGCAGTTCCAACTTCACCGGCACGGCCAAATAGCGCACTGTGATGTCCGGTGGTTGCTTCCCAGCTTCCATGAAGATCGTAGCTCATTAGGTTGATGAAATCTAGCTCTCTGAAATACAGAAGAAGAAATAAAATAACTCATGAGTGCACTTGGCAAATCAGGCACCCGGCACAGCCAGAATGCAACTTACTTGGAGATGAGGTCAATTTCATAGGCTTTGTCGATTGTACTTTTGCCAGCTGCAACAGCTGCCGTCAGTAACAGAGGCGCGCGGTTGTTGGCTACACCATCAGCGTCAAACACTTGGCGAAGTTTCTGAAAGAGCAGACAGACATAGTGGGAGCCTTGTGGCAAGATCTGTGGACTTGATACAGCTGCCCTGGAACGGAAGTTTTTGTTATACTGACCTGCACAAAAGACGTGAAACGCTGTTTGTCCTCTGGAGGGCTTCCATTACCACTCGGATACTCCCAGTCCAGATCCAGACCGTCGAATCCGTAAGTTTTTAAGTAGGCCAAGGCGTTGTTTGCAAAAGCTGCCATGTCATTGGGGTCATCTACCACGGCAGTGAAGGGCGCGGTGCCGTGAGTCCATCCACCTATGGCCAGCAGGATCTTGAGGTCTGGGTTCACGGATCGCAGGTTCATTATCTTCTCGTATTGGCCTGCATTGAGAATAGTCCAACATGTGAGTACAAACGAATCCAAGCAAGGCACCAATGTTTTTTTGTCGCCTCGAGAGCTTGAATACCTGACACGTTACCGAAAATGATCTATATTCTACCTACAATGGCCTAGGTGACGTGTTACTTACCACCGGTGCCCTTGTCGTTCCACTCATAAGCATCGATTGTGTTGCCCACGACTTTACCGAAAGCGTACATGATATGAGTGCAGAGGAAAGGATCCACATCATCCACTTTGAAGGTCATAGGAGCAGTTCTGTATTGTGCCCAGTTGGTGAAGTAACATACTCGTTTGTATCCCGACACTGCAGTGCTGGGAATGGTGGTAGGTAATCTAGTGGAGGAGGATGGCACAGTTTGAGAGGAGGAATGCAATGATGGTGGCAAAGGAGTGGAAGCTACAGGTGATCCAGACAGCTCACTTCGCAATAAGTTCATCAGAGGATACGCCCCATCGCCACAGCTGTTGCTGAAATCGTCTTGATCAAGAGACCAAACCATACCGCCACCCAGTCCTTTGGACTTGATGTAGTCAACCTATCAACGAGAGGACGAGTGAAAATTATAGTCTAGACAGACCAGATTCATCAGTGGGATTGCAAGTTGTGTAACTGTATCGGAGCTTAGGCCTAGACACTTCTCCCCTTTAAGCTTACCTTTACTTGGAAACTCTCTGTGTCGTCATATCCAATCCACTGGGTACCGTGATACGCGTACGGTACCTTGTGCTCACCGTGCCACTGTCTTGTCCAACCATTGTATTTCAAATTATAACACACCTGCAACATTTGATCCGATCTTAGTAAAAATGATGAGTACTCTTTTTTTTTTTTTCGAATGCTATAATCATTCAAGTTCAAATTGTTAGATCAGCAAAAGTGACTTCTTAATTGAAATGACTGGAAAACGTTACATGCCTCGTAATAGGCCAACAACCCTGCTTCTCCAGTATACGTTCCAGCCGCTCCTGCTCCTACGGCGGGCGCTCCTACTCCTGTATTACTGGAACTAGAGAGGGTGAAGGATCTGCCATACAAACCCATTCCCAAAACCAGTTTTTCTGGAGGTGCACCGAGATTAATCCAGTAGTTCACCGCGTAATCCTGCGCAAATAATGAATGAAAGATGCGAGGCAAGTACATTCAAAAGATCTATTAGCGAGGAAATCATACCCGAACTGACAAACCTACCACATTCATATATGCAGCAGTTCCAACTTCACCGGCACGGCCAAATAGCGCACTGTGATGTCCGGTGGTTGCTTCCCAGCTTCCATGAAGATCGTAGCTCATTAGGTTGATGAAATCTAGCTCTCTGAAATACAGAAGAAGAAATAAAATAACTCATGAGTGCACTTGGCAAATCAGGCACCCGGCACAGCCAGAATGCAACTTACTTGGAGATGAGGTCAATTTCATAGGCTTTGTCGATTGTACTTTTGCCAGCTGCAACAGCTGCCGTCAGTAACAGAGGCGCGCGGTTGTTGGCTACACCATCAGCGTCAAACACTTGGCGAAGTTTCTGAAAGAGCAGACAGACATAGTGGGAGCCTTGTGGCAAGATCTGTGGACTTGATACAGCTGCCCTGGAACGGAAGTTTTTGTTATACTGACCTGCACAAAAGACGTGAAACGCTGTTTGTCCTCTGGAGGGCTTCCATTACCACCCGGATACTCCCAGTCCAGATCCAGACCGTCGAATCCGTAAGTTTTTAAGTAGGCCAAGGCGTTGTTTGCAAAAGCTGCCATGTCATTGGGGTCATCTACCACGGCAGTGAAGGGCGCGGTGCCGTGAGTCCATCCACCTATGGCCAGCAGGATCTTGAGGTCTGGGTTCACGGATCGCAGGTTCATTATCTTCTCGTATTGGCCTGCATTGAGAATAGTCCAACATGTGAGTACAAACGAATCCAAGCAAGGCACCAGTGTTTTTTTGTCGCCTCGAGAGCTTGAATACCTGACACGTTACCGAAAATGATCTATATTCTACCTACAATGGCCTAGGTGACGTGTTACTTACCACCGGTGCCCTTGTCGTTCCACTCATAAGCATCGATTGTGTTGCCCACGACTTTACCGAAAGCGTACATGATATGAGTGCAGAGGAAAGGATCCACATCATCCGCTTTGAAGGTCATAGGAGCAGTTCTGTATTGTGCCCAGTTGGTGAAGTAACATACTCGTTTGTATCCCGACACTGCAGTGCTGGGAATGGTGGTAGGTAATCTAGTGGAGGAGGATGGCACAGTTTGAGAGGAGGAATGCAATGATGGTGGCAAAGGAGTGGAAGCTACAGGTGATCCAGACAGCTCACTTCGCAATAAGTTCATCAGAGGATACGCCCCATCGCCACAGCTGTTGCTGAAATCGTCTTGATCAAGAGACCAAACCATACCGCCACCCAGTCCTTTGGACTTGATGTAGTCAACCTATCAACGAGAGGACGAGTGAAAATTATAGTCTAGACAGACCAGATTCATCAGTGGGATTGCAAGCTGTGTAACTGTATCGGAGCTTAGGCCTAGACACTTCTCCCCTTTAAGCTTACCTTTACTTGGAAACTCTCTGTGTCGTCATATCCAATCCACTGGGTACCGTGATACGCATACGGTACCTTGTGCTCACCGTGCCACTGTCTTGTCCAACCATTGTATTTCAAATTATAACACACCTGCAACATTTGATCCGATCTTAGTAAAAATGATGAGTACTCTTTTTTTTTTTTTCGAATGCTATAATCATTCAAGTTCAAATTGTTAGATCAGCAAAAGTGACTTCTTAATTGAAATGACTGGAAAACGTTACATGCCTCGTAATAGGCCAACAACCCTGCTTCTCCAGTATACGTTCCAGCCGCTCCTGCTCCTACGGCGGGCGCTCCTACTCCTGTATTACTGGAACTAGAGAGGGTGAAGGATCTGCCATACAAACCCATTCCCAAAACCAGTTTTTCTGGAGGTGCACCGAGATTAATCCAGTAGTTCACCGCGTAATCCTGCGCAAATAATGAATGAAAGATGCGAGGCAAGTACATTCAAAAGATCTATTAGCGAGGAAATCATACCCGAACTGACAAACCTACCACATTCATATATGCAGCAGTTCCAACTTCACCGGCACGGCCAAATAGCGCACTGTGATGTCCGGTGGTTGCTTCCCAGCTTCCATGAAGATCGTAGCTCATTAGGTTGATGAAATCTAGCTCTCTGAAATACAGAAGAAGAAATAAAATAACTCATGAGTGCACTTGGCAAATCAGGCACCCGGCACAGCCAGAATGCAACTTACTTGGAGATGAGGTCAATTTCATAGGCTTTGTCGATTGTACTTTTGCCAGCTGCAACAGCTGCCGTCAGTAACAGAGGCGCGCGGTTGTTGGCTACACCATCAGCGTCAAACACTTGGCGAAGTTTCTGAAAGAGCAGACAGACATAGTGGGAGCCTTGTGGCAAGATCTGTGGACTTGATACAGCTGCCCTGGAACGGAAGTTTTTGTTATACTGACCTGCACAAAAGACGTGAAACGCTGTTTGTCCTCTGGAGGGCTTCCATTACCACCCGGATACTCCCAGTCCAGATCCAGACCGTCGAATCCGTAAGTTTTTAAGTAGGCCAAGGCGTTGTTTGCAAAAGCTGCCATGTCATTGGGGTCATCTACCACGGCAGTGAAGGGCGCGGTGCCGTGAGTCCATCCACCTATGGCCAGCAGGATCTTGAGGTCTGGGTTCACGGATCGCAGGTTCATTATCTTCTCGTATTGGCCTGCATTGAGAATAGTCCAACATGTGAGTACAAACGAATCCAAGCAAGGCACCAGTGTTTTTTTGTCGCCTCGAGAGCTTGAATACCTGACACGTTACCGAAAATGATCTATATTCTACCTACAATGGCCTAGGTGACGTGTTACTTACCACCGGTGCCCTTGTCGTTCCACTCATAAGCATCGATTGTGTTGCCCACGACTTTACCGAAAGCGTACATGATATGAGTGCAGAGGAAAGGATCCACATCATCCACTTTGAAGGTCATAGGAGCAGTTCTGTATTGTGCCCAGTTGGTGAAGTAACATACTCGTTTGTATCCCGACACTGCAGTGCTGGGAATGGTGGTAGGTAATCTAGTGGAGGAGGATGGCACAGTTTGAGAGGAGGAATGCAATGATGGTGGCAAAGGAGTGGAAGCTACAGGTGATCCAGACAGCTCACTTCGCAATAAGTTCATCAGAGGATACGCCCCATCGCCACAGCTGTTGCTGAAATCGTCTTGATCAAGAGACCAAACCATACCGCCACCCAGTCCTTTGGACTTGATGTAGTCAACCTATCAACGAGAGGACGAGTGAAAATTATAGTCTAGACAGACCAGATTCATCAGTGGGATTGCAAGTTGTGTAACTGTATCGGAGCTTAGGCCTAGACACTTCTCCCCTTTAAGCTTACCTTTACTTGGAAACTCTCTGTGTCGTCATATCCAATCCACTGGGTACCGTGATACGCGTACGGTACCTTGTGCTCACCGTGCCACTGTCTTGTCCAACCATTGTATTTCAAATTATAACACACCTGCAACATTTGATCCGATCTTAGTAAAAATGATGAGTACTCTTTTTTTTTTTTCGAATGCTATAATCATTCAAGTTCAAATTGTTAGATCAGCAAAAGTGACTTCTTAATTGAAATGACTGGAAAACGTTACATGCCTCGTAATAGGCCAACAACCCTGCTTCTCCAGTATACGTTCCAGCCGCTCCTGCTCCTACGGCGGGCGCTCCTACTCCTGTATTACTGGAACTAGAGAGGGTGAAGGATCTGCCATACAAACCCATTCCCAAAACCAGTTTTTCTGGAGGTGCACCGAGATTAATCCAGTAGTTCACCGCGTAATCCTGCGCAAATAATGAATGAAAGATGCGAGGCAAGTACATTCAAAAGATCTATTAGCGAGGAAATCATACCCGAACTGACAAACCTACCACATTCATATATGCAGCAGTTCCAACTTCACCGGCACGGCCAAATAGCGCACTGTGATGTCCGGTGGTTGCTTCCCAGCTTCCATGAAGATCGTAGCTCATTAGGTTGATGAAATCTAGCTCTCTGAAATACAGAAGAAGAAATAAAATAACTCATGAGTGCACTTGGCAAATCAGGCACCCGGCACAGCCAGAATGCAACTTACTTGGAGATGAGGTCAATTTCATAGGCTTTGTCGATTGTACTTTTGCCAGCTGCAACAGCTGCCGTCAGTAACAGAGGCGCGCGGTTGTTGGCTACACCATCAGCGTCAAACACTTGGCGAAGTTTCTGAAAGAGCAGACAGACATAGTGGGAGCCTTGTGGCAAGATCTGTGGACTTGATACAGCTGCCCTGGAACGGAAGTTTTTGTTATACTGACCTGCACAAAAGACGTGAAACGCTGTTTGTCCTCTGGAGGGCTTCCATTACCACCCGGATACTCCCAGTCCAGATCCAGACCGTCGAATCCGTAAGTTTTTAAGTAGGCCAAGGCGTTGTTTGCAAAAGCTGCCATGTCATTGGGGTCATCTACCACGGCAGTGAAGGGCGCGGTGCCGTGAGTCCATCCACCTATGGCCAGCAGGATCTTGAGGTCTGGGTTCACGGATCGCAGGTTCATTATCTTCTCGTATTGGCCTGCATTGAGAATAGTCCAACATGTGAGTACAAACGAATCCAAGCAAGGCACCAGTGTTTTTTTGTCGCCTCGAGAGCTTGAATACCTGACACGTTACCGAAAATGATCTATATTCTACCTACAATGGCCTAGGTGACGTGTTACTTACCACCGGTGCCCTTGTCGTTCCACTCATAAGCATCGATTGTGTTGCCCACGACTTTACCGAAAGCGTACATGATATGAGTGCAGAGGAAAGGATCCACATCATCCGCTTTGAAGGTCATAGGAGCAGTTCTGTATTGTGCCCAGTTGGTGAAGTAGCATACTCGTTTATATGGTTGTACGACTGAATTGAAAATGTATAAAATTTTTATGTACAAATACCTCCTCATGAACAGAATTCATATTTAAGGATCATTAGGTAGTACTCTCTTACTTGGTGATTTCAGACATTAATCTTTTAGAAAAAAGAAATGATTGTGTACCTCTAAATATGATGACTATTAATCCTAAGACCGCCACCTTCTTCTGTTGAAAAGAAATCTTAATTTAATTGCATATGTGTATTTTTTTCCAGACATGTTTGCTAGAGTGTGTTGAAAAGAAAACATTGCAGATAATTTCTGTGTACCTCAAATTAAAGAAAATGTTTTACAGTCTCCTTGATATAAGAGAGAAGTTTTATTAAGATAAATCTACTTTCACGTTGGGCAGATTTTAATCTATCTAAATCATAATCTTAGAAATGGGACCACAGTTTAAGTTAAAAGTTTACATATGAATAAACAAAATAAAAATAACATTTTTTTCAATTGGATCGATGTCATCACGACCACCTTTCTCGTGATCCTCACCCTTAACCTGAGGGTTGGGTTGAAGGAGCAGAAAAGGGATCTAAGAATTAAACAGAAATATGCTGACATCCAAATAAAAAAAGACTACAATTTTTCAAACATATAGACAGTATGTTGTCCTTAATACAGGTTACATAAAGGGATAGAAAGAGACAGACATGCATTTTTTAAAGTGAGCATTAAGAGCCATTCTCTGTAACGACTTGAACATTTATATAGGAGCTGTGGCACGCATAGTCTCTGAATTTCTCCAAACTCTCTATGAAAACTCAAATCAGACAGAAATTGGTTGCTATGTGTCATGGTTACCATGACAACATGTCCTAAAGTTTGAAAAATGGCATTTTTCAACATGTTCAGAGTCCCACAGTTAACGTTTGCAGCAAAGCAAATAAGTGGCAATGATTGTTTCTGAAAGTAGAAGGCCTGATGTCTTAAATGCATGATAAACATGTTTGGTATTTCAACTATTACATACGTTTCTATGGAAACAAAGTATTCAAAAGTAATAATTTTGCCCATTTAATTTTATAAAATTATACATTTAAGAATAAAAAAAAGTTATAGGTTGAAATGTAAGCAAATTATAGACGAAAGATCCTTGTAACATATACCAAGGAAGAAATAAGATATTTCTTATAGGTTGGCAATGGTTGCCATGGTTTTAATACCACAAAGGGATTTTGAATTCACTCTCTTAGTGTTTAAATCTAATCCTATCTTTTTAAAAAGCATATTTCTATATAACTAATGATCAATTTTTAAAGACGTTCATGTGACCCAAATTTTCACATTTCAAAAAATTCAAATTCAATTCTTTAAATAGAGCGTTGCTATGGAAATAAGCCGAAAAAATATGCATAAAAATCTGAAAAATATTCTGTTTCCTTGGATACGTACCCTTGTATGTAGATTCCCAAAACTTTTATGATTGATAATTATGAACAACTAACCTGACTTTCAATTTTGACTGCCACGCAATCTCTAACTGGATGCAAAAAGCTGGCACATAGGGTTTAATATTGATATGAAATTAACAAAATTGAACATTTTCCCTTCTTGGTTACCATAGCAACAGTGTTGTATTTTTCAACAAATGTTATCAATGTATGATATTCAACTTAAGTTCTACTAAATAAGTACTATTCAAGGTGAGTCAAATAATATGTTTCTTGAATAAAAGATAAGTAAATTCCTAAGGCAGCAAAAAAAATCACTTTAAACAACTGGTACATTGTTTCCATGGTTACACTGCAACGTAACAATTAATCCCAATTTTTCTTATGTTGTCGGTATTCCAAGGTCCTAAGGATGTATATGTGCCAGTCATGAAATTTATTGTTTTTCCTGAAGATAGTAGCATTAACCCAATCTTAGCAACACATTTTGCATGGTAGCACTGTGTCACCATGGCAACCATGAAAGTTATTTTTAGAATAATATTGCCAATACCTAATTACTTAAGGTCAAATATTTTTATTGTTTTTTCTTAGGTTGTTGATCGAGTTTGATCATTTAAAACCTGTCATTGGTGAATATTGAGCGTTTTTCTGCATTTTTCAGCATCTAAAATGTATTCCAAATGTACCCATGGTTACCACTTACTTAGAGATAAATTCTAAATAGTTTCTTTATAGCGTAAGTGGCAACAAGGTGTCAGGTTTTTGTGAGAATGGTTTGTTTGTTATTCTTAGTCTTTATTAACGCTTAATAAAGATTCAAAGTAGCTGAAAATCTCAATTTCCCCAACTTTTCTGGCTGTTACCATGGCAACCAAGACACATAGCAACGAAATTTTATTTGATATATGTTTCTGGTGTCAAGTTGTAATAATGGGCAAAGTTTCATCAAAATCGGTGACCATGCGTGGCAAAGAAGTTTAAGTGGTTACAGAGAATCGCTATTAAGGTCCACATCTCTCTTTTTTTACGTATCATATATTTCTGTAGCCGGTTACCATAAATTAAGTTTAATATCGAGACAAAATAAGTGAATTGTATATTAAAAAACAACGTGAATTCGTCTTAGAATATAGATTGTATAGATCCCAAACAAAGAATTACTATAGTTAACTATAGATATTATACTTAACTACGATGCATTATAGATAGATCTCATAGATATTATAGTTAGCTACTACTAATACTTAGATTTGTTCCCCTAATAGGACTTCATTGTCTATCATTAAGAATCCGTTACATATAAAATATAGCCGTATTAATTTAAAGTATTTTGGGGAAGAAGAGTATTACCAAAATATTTTTTAAAGTAATTTAGTAAGTAGTAATTAATCAAAGAAGAATACGTTGAAATCTATAGGATAAACAAATTCTTTAAAAATAAAAATATAAATACTAGGAATATCAATAAATGCTATGGTGGATAGATGCCTTTAATCATTAGGATTAGAATAAAGCTTGAAAATGATATTTTTCCAGATTTCCGGATTTATTAAAATGGATGTAAGTCTTATACGGTACCAATTTTGATGCACCAGATGCGACAAATTATGTCTCTTCAGTGATGCTCATGCCGAAACGTTGAAAATCCGTAAAATTCAAATAATAAAAAAAACTTGAAAGAGCTGAAAAAAGGGGGTGCCAAAGACTGGAGCCAATTACGTTGAAGGATCACAGCTATGCATGAGGGAGAAAATCCTTAATTTTGAAATTATTTTTTTTATTTTTTTTTCACAGAAATTACTGAAACTGATTTTATGTTTAAATGCCTATTTTTACATAAACGTATTCAATGGCAATAAAACTGTAAGATATTTACATATGATATATACGTATACAAATGTACATTGTAGAGTCATTATTAAAATAAAGCATGAAAGTCTCTAAAGAAGTAAGTTTTTAAGTTGTTTTTGAAATCATCAATAAATTTTGATTGCTTAATATGCAAAAGTGTCCACAAATTTGGTCCGATGGTACTAAAACTGAAAGTTTTTCTTTTATGCAATTTTTTATTTGAAGTTTGTTTTGGCAAAAGTTAAGTTAAATATTCTCGTGCTTGGCCCACTGAACAGTTATACATAAATGTCAGAATTTTCACTGATATCTTAGATTTTATAACTAGCCAGTTGAGATCAAAGAGAGCTCCTTTCGAACTGTCAAATTCTCTCCTATTTAATACAAACTTGGCACATATATTCTGAATTTCGCATTGTGCTGTACTAAAAAAAATAACATTGCAATGGTCTAAATATTAAATAACTAATGATAAAACCAAAATTTCCGTAGGTTCCTTTGTTCAATATTTTCGAACACATTTAATCCTTAGATAATTTAACATTGTTGTACGACATTTCCTGTTTACATGTTCTTTGAAATTTAGGTTTTCATCTAAAAACGCACTCAAGTTTTGTATACATTTTACGGATTTGATTTCATTTTCATTAGTTTTTATACGGTATATTATAATATATTTATTATAAATTAAATATGTATCCGTATTTTCAAGGTAGTAACAAAGTACTTAGCTACTGCGAAGTAGCTTCTTGATTCAACTCCAAGGAGATAACTCTTCAAGAACAGGTTAAGGTCATTCATTAGGACACATTCTATTCTTACATTCTAATAGTAAAATATTGAATTTATTTCTAAATATATTGAGTATACAATCCATATATATCCTTACATATCTGTTGTTCATTCAATTTTATTGAATCTGAGCTCAAGGCTGTTACGGGTGGAATACATTAATTAACTATGAAACTTTACCCCAAAAGTTTATTCGAAAAAAATCCATACCAATTATGTAAATTTTGGAAACTCAATGGGAATACACATTTTATATTTCCTTTAAATATCAGACGTAAGCGTGAAAGAATATGAATGAGAAAATGAAAATTAACAATTTGAATTTCGTTGGAAAATACTTTGATTTAGTACAGTTAAAACTATATAAGGATATCATAGCTAACTATAGTAAACTTTTGTTTACTAAAGTATTTTGTTAGGGTATGTTCTTACTATTTTAGTGGTAACTGTTCATTCAAATCTTGAAGCTTTTTTTTTTATTTCAATTTTTTTAAGCTTAAGGTCCTTATAACCACGTAAAGAAATACTTGGATTTTCTTCCCAGTTACAGCTCCTTATGTTCAGTAGATCACAAGATAGCATTTACAATATCATTTGTTTCATTATGTTCTTATATGATAAATTTAGTATGTAATTACTAACTTAATATAATAATGAGTTTTGTTAACAAGAATTACCAATAAAGATTTGCTTAAAAGCCAGATTTATTGTACATGCTGCTATATAGTTCAACTGAGTAGTGGGAAATTGTGAGATCTTTTATATAATCAATCAAGAATATTTAAATCAAGAGTTTGAAGGATTTGTAAATTAATGACATTTTGAATGTTCATGTCATGTTTTCAATTCCAAATATGAAGAAAAACATTGAAAAGGAAGATGAGACTTGCAGAGAAATACAAGCAGTTCACTCCTTCATGTCATGTTTAGTTTTATAACATCAATCATCTTAGCATGTGTTTATCATAAACATATCATGTCGGGGAAAGTGGCTATACTAAAAACTACCAATGAAAAACACTTAACATGAACTTCTCTTTGCTTAACACTTAATCGAGGACAATCTGAGAACAAATAAGTAAAAAGTTTTCTCGCCTAAAGTGATAAAATCTATATAAACAACTTTGTATTCAATTGATAATTCACACAAAAGTTCACCTATTTCATTGGAAGTAACGGAACAAGACGCTATGACATGCTGAAAACTTTTTGTAAACGGTTTCGAACGTATAATGAACTGATACGTATCTTTCTCCGATACTAGAGTCTACATGTTTGCAATGTACTCTACTTGCATTTCTTTTGTTGAGAGTAATTATGTCCATAGTGAGACCTTATGTACAGTTGTATGAAGTAACTTGAAGTCATCGAAATCTGGATCAGAATGACTTAAATCTTTCCATGAAGAATTGTAGTAGGAATTTAATGGCTTGTTTTACAACTCCTAACCCTAACCCCTATCCCTGACTTTTACTTTCACCTAATCCTTTAATCCCCATTGACCTAAATGTTCACTTAAATCCATGTTCATTTTCGTTTTTATCCTGTACCCTACTCCTAACCCTAACCCAAACACTTGTTATACAATGTTCTTCAAAATATATTTGGGTGGAAACTGGCATTAGCTATGTTAGTGTGAAGGAATCTTCTTAAGGAGTATTTCCGAATAAATAATACGAATTTTGATGTTTGGTTGTAGTTAAAGTATTTGAACATCTGTATGGTAAAAACTGGTTTCGAAAGGTGATCACAATCAATGCAGCAAAACTCTCCAAAGAAATAAAGTTTTTTTTTTTTGCCAATTTCAGTCTGTATTGGTTTTATTCCGAGCATACGTTCGCAAATAGCCGACCTAGTTGATATTTGGAATTTTTTTTATGTCTTTTACAATAAAATATTGAAATCTATTCAAAATATTCCAGTTAGTCTTTTGTTTTCAATTTTTTCCATAATTCACAACTGAATAATACTGAAGGCAAGACAATTTTCTTATAAAATATTTACTAACATTCTGGGGTTATTTGAGCATATTTACATTTATTCCAAAGTAGGATTTCCTTTCTTTTTCAAAGGCACGGGTAGTGTTTGGTAAAGACTAACTCGATTCTGGTATGATTTTGTCACCAACATGCAATATTTTTTTGCAATATATCTAAATATTAGAATATTTGATTTTTCTGCACTAAAAGAGAAACGCCATTTACAAGAATATTCATAGGTAACACTAAGTAACATCTGAAGACCTGCAGGTGTCAAACAAAGCTTAGCAGGTCATTTATAAAAACAGAATACAAAAAACCTGATAACTGCCCCTCCCCCTTGTTGTACTCCTTGTTCTACACAAAACCTTTGACACATATCCATTAATAATAGCACTATGTGTATCTATACGACAAACTTCTATGATGGACCATAATTTACAGTTGATCCCTAATTTATACAACTTAACCATCAAACCCTTTCTCTACAAGGAGTCGAAACTTTCAATAGACTGTCCAAAAAAGCAGTATATACATTGTTTTTGCTTTCTATATTGTAGTATATATTTTCTTGCAATGCAAATGATGCTGTAGTGCAACTTAAACTTTTTTGGTAGCCATCCTGTTGAACATTGGGAAAATGTTAATTACAAAGAATAAATGATTGTTTTCGATCGTGGATATTTATTTTTTCAAACACCTTGAAAATTTTACATAACAGTTCACATATCGTTCTATAACTATGAGGGCTGTTTTTGTTTGTTGTCACCTTTATGCATAGTTACAGTGATATTCTCCACACTATTACGGTACGTATTTAAGCTCTAAAACAGCATTGAATATATTGCAAATAATTGTGCTGCTTGCTTCCAACGGTTTTAATATGCTCTGCTTGAATGAAGTCTACTACTGGGGTTTTCTGTGTTTTTTTTTTTTTTAGCGATGAGACGGTTTCTCAGACTTCAGAACTCAATATAGGGCCTCCTGGTACGATGCCATTTGTGATGAATGCTTTCATTTGTTCATATTCATGTTGTGTAGTTCTGCAGAAAATTTCGTCAAATTGATTGTTGATAGATCTCCTAAAGATAGTTAGCAAAAACTTCCTACGGGGTTTCTGTGTCTAATTACAGGGTATATTTTATCTTTCTTTGGTCTTTGCTGATTAATTAAGTACCAGAATAATCATACGACACATGCTGCAGCATCGTCATTGTCTTTATTTCCACCATCAATGTTTCATACGCGCTGTTGAGGGTATTTTTGATTTCACGCTTAGCTTATTTAGGATGCGTTTTCCTTTTCTCGTAGCCTTCCATAGCGACCTTTCATAATTTCTTATCTGATGTTCTTTCTGATGGGAACCATGCCTTGGTCCAACGAGGATATTTGGAACTCACTTAGCTGTCCAGAAAAGCCTATGACTCCTCCTTTGAAGAATATTTATTTGGAAGATCCAGTGACGATTTGACGTCTGAATAAAGTGAATAAAACGTAGGGTACCAGCATTCACTAAAACGTATGATGGGAATGAAGCATTAAAAATAATGAATATGATTTAGATGCCCTAATGGACACTTTAAATAAGAAATTATTACCATCTTTTCTCGACTTGTGAACTCCGGCGATCTATATTTTTCTGCAACTATTGTAAGGAATTATTCTTATCTGGTTTCTGACTAAATGAAAAGTTTAAAGTATATTTGCTGAAATGCCTTTTATATAAAGTTGTTTGGGAATTCAAAGATTTTCTGACGTTAATGAAATTAATGATTGGAGACTTGTTTTAGAATATGTAAAATAAATATAATTTTCTAAACAAATTACAATGTTTTAGTCCTTAGCTTTTGAAAAGTAACAACATGTACTTAAAACAGATTTTGAATAGTGAGAATCAGCTTAAACTTTTTCTGTCTTATCTAATAGTCAATTTATTTGTATTTGTATCATTTTGCTTCTTTATATTACTACTTTACCATATATAAAAATGAGAAAATTTTCAATACATGTACACATAGCATATACAGTTTAATAACATTCCCAAAAATGAAGGTAAAAAGAGGAAATTCGGATTATAAAATATTTATTTTCAATTAATTATCTGCCTCAGCTTGGTAATGAAATATGGAGATAACAAACAGTATTCAAGCTCGAAGTCCATCAAAACAATACAAATCGGGAGCAGAATAAACACGGACCTAAAAAAACATTATAGGTGGGATCAGGTGCCATGAAGGAGTGAGCATCCCCTGCCGACTGGTTACACCCGCCGTGTGCTCCTTGTCATGATCGGTAAATAACAGAATAATCCATCGATAATTCAGTGTGTAAATAATGACCTAACAATTCGTATGAAAAACGCCGTCAGCAAATGACTTAATGATAGATTGTATTTGCTGACAAGGTCATTGTATCGACCATAGAACTTACAAAATGATAACATTAAACGAGGCTGTTGATATTCTTGTTGATAACATCTGATGGACTTTATGTGGTATTATCTTTTTATGCGAAAAATGAAACATTTCATCTTTTTTGAAATAGAAGTAGGCATTGGATATCTAGCAACAGTAATGTTTAGTTCTTGATAACAATGGAAAAGATAATAACCTTGACCTGACCTTGTTACTAAAATGCGACGATCAAATTAAACTAATTGACACCATGACTTAGTGATATTTCCATCTTGCATCTTTGAGACTTTCATTAATTATGCCCCCGTAATCGAGGATGAATTGAAGAAAAAGGGTATATAATTTTTGCCTTGTCCGTCCGTCTGTCTGTCTGTTTTTCTGCAAAAACTTTAACATTGCCCATAACTTTTGATTTGTTGGAGCTATTTCTTTCATATTTCATATGTGTATTTCTTTTAACTAGACCTTTTTTTGGGTACCATCATATTTGACCTTGGAGTTGGATCCAGTTTTGCAAAATTTTAACTTTAACCTTGGCCATAACTTTTGACCAATTGGTGCTATGGCTTTCATTCTTCACATGTGTAATCCATTTGACAAGACCTTACTTTGACCCTTTGACCTTCACCTAGGAGTTTGACCTACTTTTGAAAAACTTTAACATTGACAATAACTTTTGATTAGTTGGATATATGGCTTTCATACTTCACACATGTAATTCTTGTGACAAAACCTTCCTTTGGATACCAACAACTTTGACCCTTTGACCTTGACCTTGGAGTTTGACCTACTTTTGAAAAATTTTAACCTTGGCCATTACTTTTGAACGTTGTTCTAGGGCTTTCATATTTCACGTGTATATTTCTTTTGAGAAGGCCTCTTCTGGGGCACCATTAATTTTGACCATTTGACTTGCCTTGATGTTTGACTTACTTTTGAAAAACTTTAACTTTCTCCGTATCTATTCAATGGTTGCTGCGGGGGCTTTCATATTTCACTGGCATATTTCTAGAGACAAGACCTTACTTTGGGTACCAACATATTTGATTTGCATTTGAGAAATTTTAGCCTTCGCTATAAGTTGCCATAACGGGGGTATCAGTGTTTCACAAATACATCTTGTTAATACCTGTAGCTAACAGTAATCTTATTTTCCACTCCAACTACATATATCTGAATTCTAGATCTTACAGTGAGAAATATCATTGTACTTAATAATTGGACTATTTCTAATTTGAAAATAACAAAGGGATGCTTACATTTTTCATTGTGTATCGATTAATGAAAGATTGTTCGCAATGAGCGAGGGAAATGTACATATACACATACAATGTGTTTGCAATGAAAGATTGAAGGTCATGGTCCTCTGGATTAATATTTACGACAATACTTTGAATCCTTGACTTTTTGATTTTGTTCGCAGAGAGATGATTCCAATTTGTCTCAGTATTCAGAAAACTACCATTGAAATCGTGGATATCTGAATGATTCTTCATTGCTTTAGACTCGCGAGATTTTTAATTATTAAAATTATATCGATTAAATAGAATAGATTAAATAAGTTTTATTTTACAATAACTATTATGCAATCTTTTTACGATATGTGTGATTCTGTGTATTTTATATTTTGCGAGAGCTAGACCTATATTTCTTATTATGAAACTGTTACAAACATTTGATCCCAAAGCCATTGAACTGGGATAAACAGAATTACTAAAAGCACAGTCTCCTTTCAGTTGAAGGCAGTCCCCCTGACTGCCATACATACAAATCCAGAAGAAAGTCTAGGCAAACTATTAGTGTTTTCGTTTTTATTTAAGTAAATGTACAAGGTTTGTTACTTAGATTTCAACAATAACATTAACAAAATACTTTTGAAATCTCTCACCATTCGTGGATTTATTTATTTTCTAATATTTAAAAAGTTGTTTGTTCGCAAATGACACAATCGTCCGCTTAAAATTTTAAATAAATGTTGATTGAAGGAAATTTTGACGGTAAATAGTAAAGAGTATTTAAAATTTAAGGTACAGTGTATTTAATTAAAGTTTCACCAGCATAGTTCTTTTTTTAATGTTGAAATACATCTTAGGTAAATTGTAAAGTAACATCGTCTCTCTAAAACCTTGTGAAAAACATTCATGTTTCATTTGTTATATTTATTTTAAATGTTATGTGCATTTTTGGCTCTGTAAGCACAGTGACGTAGCAGTCAATATATAATGTTTACACTGATTCTTTTTTTTTTTCTTTTTAATTTTTCTTTCTTATCGATATACCTGTGACAGTCATTTTCTAAAAATAAAAAACTTTATTACACAGTACTTCACAATTCCCCATACTTTTTCTGAAAGCACATTCTTATTCAATCTGCATTCATTCAATGAAAAAAATATTCAAAGAAAAAATATATATATTTTTTTTATGAATACTATTTAATATATATATATATATATATATATATATATATATATATATATATATATATATATATATATATATATATATATATATATATATATATATATATATATATATATAATGAAAAAAATGATTTATATTAAATGTAATTGCATATTTGATGCATTAAAAAGTAAAAGACTCACCATGTCGGCTATGGTCATCTGCTACAATGACCAGGCATGCGTCATTCTGAATTATATTGACTATGTTTAAAAGGATTGGTACTCTGTTTAACTGTAAACACACAGAGGACTAAATAGGAAGGTTCTGTGCTTTGACAAGAAATTTTAATTATTACTTTAAATGGTTATCAAATCTAAATGTTTAAAAATACGTAGTTTCAGAATGTCTTTTCCAGATCATTAAGTAATAAGTACAGATATCCTTAAACAGAACAGAGAGGCTCAGCTCTGGTGACGTATGAACATTTTCTGGCAAACTTTTTACATACAAATACTTTTATTCAAAACTCTCTATTCGGTTGATTTATTCACAAAAATTAAGTCTTATGACTTTAAAATCAAAAACAATTTTAATGTGTCAAAAGTTAAAGAAAGGAATGGAGCAAAGTAAATTGATACGCTTTGTAAATAATCTTGCGATTTAGACCAATAATGGTAAAAATGAATTTTTGCATTGCTTTTAACAGGAAAAAGTTATATTTGTGCTTACTGATAAAGATAATTATAAATCTAATGTTATATGTATTAATTGAGAATCTTTTACCATATATATGTTTATATTTGGATATTTACAATTTAGTTCATGTATTTGAATATAGTTTGTAAATTTACAGTAATATTATGATATTGCAACTGGCCTAATTTGTAGACGCAACGTTTGACCAGTATTTCATGTTATAAACATTTGGAGTTCCACAAAGAAATAGCAGTCAATGAACGATCAGGTAAACGCATTTAGGAGGTCAATAACTAAATAACGATATCATTTACTTTACATGCGTCAAACATTTAAATGTACATAACATGAATCTTTCACATGAATTTCTGATTTTGTGGTTCCTATCATAAAGATATCATTTATTTTATAATATTGTATTATTCGTTCTCTGCTCGATAGTAACATAAAAGCAATCCTATTTCAAAGAGTACATGTATGTGAAAATGATCACACGGAAATGCAACATGTTTAGGGGGCTTGTTTGCTTTTATACTTAATTAAGATTAAGTAAAAAAAAAAAAGATTGAAAATTTACGCACCTTCCTTTAACTACCACCCCCCCCCCCCCCAAAAAAAAGTTTAAAAACAGGGTCAGAATTATACGGAAGCCCATTTAGGACCTATCAAAAATATTTTTGAATTCGATAATACAGATTAGCGAATTTGTTATAACGAATTTAATTCATTATAACAATTTCTTTGAATTCGTTGTAACGAATTTAATCTGTTATAACAAATTTGTAAAACAAATTCAAAAATTTGTTGTAACGAATAAAACTCGTTTTAACGAATTCTAAAACTTGTTATAATGAATTAAATTCGTTGAAACGAATTTTTTAATCTGTTATAACGAATTAAATTCGTTAAAACGAATTTGACAATTAGTTATATCGAATTTATATATATATATATATATATATATATATATATATATATATATATATATATATATATATATATATATATATATATATATATATATATATTTCTTTAAGCTTGGATTATTGAATTTGATTAATCAATTTTAATTCGTTAAAACGAATTTTAACATTTGTTTTAAACAAATTCAATTTATTATAACAAATTTAAGAGTTCGATTAAACGAATTTAATCTGTTTTATCAAATTTTAAAATTCGTTTTAAAGAATTCAACAAATCTGTTATAACAAATTTAATTCGTTATTACGAATTCAAAAAAATTTTTATAACGAATATAATTCGTTAGAACAAATTCGACAATTCGTTATATCGAATTCAAAAATATTTTTGATAGGTCCTTAATGGGGTTTCGTAGAATTAACATTTAATTTCATAAACATCAATGTTAGTCCTGTTCTATGATTTTAATTTTGAAGATGATAAATTTAAACTGCAATTTACAATTTTTAGAAACTTATCGTTTTCTTATAATAGTGCCTAATAATAATATTTTTTATTAAATCACTTCACCGCTGATGCATAAAAAGTTTATCCTGCTTTCTGAATTGCACATCGTATGACCTTTTAAATCACAATGTTTGTGAAACCATTCATCGACTAATTCTAGTCGCGAAATTTCATTTAAAACTTTCATTTAATTTTAAATTCACCACACAAAGTATTACTCCTTTTAGAATAATGTGCAGAATTTAACGCTTTTAACCTCATGGAATGAGTTATTTTTTGCTGCTTTGATATATGTATTTCTAAGTTAATTAATTATCATGAATTCTTAAGTATAATTTTCTGAGTATCAACTATGATCTATTAACAACAAGTATAGACATTATCATGATTACATCAATGGAAGATATCGTGTTAAATGTTTCGATATCGATCTTTGAATACTAATAGAGGTCAGACAGACATGAATACTAATAGAGGTCAGACAGACATGAATACGTATGGTGATATCTGTGATTCTTTGAAAACTTATAGTTGTTTGAGAGACACGAAAACATATACTGATATTTGTGATTTCAGTGTCAATGTCTTTGAATACAGATAGATGTCTGGCGCCTTTTTCTTAACCTCTCTTGTGTCATATCTCACACAGTTTTCTTTTTTCATATATTCTTATCACAAAGTTTTGATTCATAAAAATCATTAAAGTTTATCATAAATGCGGCATGCATTAGTTTGATCAGTATAAAATAATGACAGTGTTGCAGGGTTTAATCCAGTGTAAAATACTGTTACCTGTTTAGTTTTCCATTCATACAAAGCTTTGCAAGTTCTAATTTCAGGTCCGTGGGAAGCAATTTCACTTGGATGTGAAACATTTTCAGTTTGAGAGCCCTGGGCACTACCAAGCAAAATTTCCTTGCAAAAAAAGGTCATTACTGAGGGGGTTCAAGCATAAAGTAGAGATGTTTTCTATAGTATACAATATATTTCCGAAAAATTGGGGGGGGGGGGGCACCACGTGCCCTACCGGTTCCTATGGCCATGATTTTTTTTTTACAGTTTTTGCCATAAGCCTAGAATAAATGATCCGTAAAAATCTCCTCACAATGCTTTATTATACTTCACATAAATCGAAGTCTTTTTTTAAAAGAAATCTTAAATCAAGTAAAAACTTAAATCATTGTAAACAGTTGATACCAGGTGGGCTTATCAACAGTTTAATCAGTAATTCTTGAGCCATGACTGATGCTTATCTGTAGGTTGACATCATTGAACTTGCTTATAGTTGCATTGAATATAATGAAATATGGAGATAACGAACATCATTTATAGTCCATTTAAACAATACAAACCGGAAGCAGAGCACACACGGACCTCCAAAAACATCAAAGGCGGGATCAGGTGCCAAGGAGGTGTAAGCATCCCCTGTCGATCAGTCACACCCTGCGTGTGTTCCTTGTCATGATCGGGTAAACGGAAAAATTTCAGTGTGTCAATTAGTATGAAAAACGTCAGTCATCATTTGACCTAATTATACTAGTAGATTATATTTGCTGACAATGTCTTTGTGTAGCCCATAGAACTTGCAAAATGATGACTTCAGACGAGACTGTTGTTTCATCATTGTTGGTTAATAATTTGCCTGGGTTTAGAAATTAATCATACATAGAGCATAATCTTGCGTATCGAATCAGCTGGGAGAAATAAACCCCACATGCAGGTGATAAGGGTATATTGCTACATAAGTTAGGGAAGTTGACGATAGAAAAGTTGAAGTCAGCACGTTTATCATAAAAAATTTGTTGTTAGGTTACCATTAACGTCTTTTTCTAGTAATATAACATAATATTTCATTCGATTATCTTCATTATTCTCATAATTCATACTTAAATTAAAGCATAGTCAATACATAAAATCTAAGATTTGATCCTAATGGTGTACTTCATTTAACTTAAAACATCATGAAAAACAATTTGGGCGTCATCTGTTTATTCCATAACCACGAATATATTTACAAAAATAAAATCCAAGTCAGTGTCATTCCAAGTCTTCAATTCCGTGTTTTCATTCGGTCTCCAGTCTTATGGCTCACTAGTATTTACCTAAAAAATCACAGTGATCATAGGATACGATATTAGGTGAAGTTATCAAGTAATTATTTTTTTTAGTTTTTAATTTACAGTAAAAACTTACCAGATTTGTATCCACCATAGCCTCCGGAAAACCCGTCATTTAGATCATCAAAACCACTCAAACTGGAAGACAAAGTGGAGAAATCAGAAAATCCACCAAGTCCTGATCCTGGAAATCCACCTCCGGTACCTGATAATCCTCCACTTGGGAATCCAGAACTACCAGATGAGAAACTAGACCCACTCCTAGTAAGACTTAGAGACCTGCCACCAGATGGGAATCCACCGATTCCACTGCCCCCAATAGGAAATCCAGATCCTCCAAGAGGGAAGCCTCCGCCAGTTCCCCCTATAGGGAATCCACTTCCAAGACTACCACCTCCAATGGGGAAACCAGCACCACCTGTTGGAAATCCGCTACTTGGGAATCCGGAACTACCAGATGAGAAACTAGAACCACTTCTAGTTAAACTTAAAGAGCTACCACCAGATGGAAATCCACCTAAACCACTGCCACCAATAGGGAATCCAGATCCTCCCATAGGGAAGCCTCCACTTGTTCCCCCGATGGGGAATCCACTTCCGAGACTACCACCTCCAATGGGGAAACCAGCACCACCAGTTGGAAATCCTCCACTAGGAAATCCAGAACCACTAAGAGGGAATCCTCCTCCAAGACTTCCACTGCCAATTGGGAATCCTCCTAGACCTCCACTGCTTAAAGGGAAGCCAGCACCACCGCTCGGGAATCCTCCACTAGGCAATCCGGATCCTCCAAACGGGAGTCCTCCTCCAAGGCTGGAGCTTCCCAAAGGCAACCCTCCAAAGCCACCACCTAATGGAGAACCTGATCCCCCAAGCGGAAAACCACCAGTGAGACTACCTCCACCAATAGGGAACCCAGCACCACCACTTGGGAGTCCACCTGTAGGAAACCCAGAACCTCCAAGTGGGAATCCACCTCCAAGACTGCCGCCTCCTAAAGGAATACCTCCAATACCACTGCCTAGTGGGGAACCAGATCCTCCAAGCGGAAGACCTCCAAATCCAGGGCTTAATGGGAATCCACCAGTTGGACTGCCACCGATAGGGCTAATAGCACTTCCACCACCTAATGGAAGAGCTCCACTACCACCAAATCCTGGATATCCACCTCTGCTAAAGTTAAATCCATCAGGAATGATGTGCAGTCTGACCAAGTATTGGTAATACTGGAGATACTGGACAGAGGCTGGTCCGTATGTTACATACAGATAGTAGAGGTACTGGATGTAGACGACATACCTGTATCCACCAGAAGGATAGTTGCGGTAGATGGAGGACGGACCAGTCGGAATAGAAGGGTAACCTGTGATAGACGAAGATGTTTGTCATTTAATTGATATACATGTACAAAAGTAAAATCAGTAGTTTTTCCAAAATAGAGAAAAGATAAAATTTTACCAGTGTTATATGTGGCAGCCACGTATGTGACTAACAGTAGTAAACACACCTCCTTAAGCATGGTTTCTGTAAATGTTAACAATTTTTTTTACAAAAAATTAAGAATATCAAATTTCTTTGATAATAATAAGAGAAATAAAATATCTTTATACCGTGCTTTTTACGAGATAATTACACTTCATTGAAGTGCATAAATGTTTTACAAAATCAAATTCGAAGAATTTAAAAATAAAATTTTACAGTTTAAAATCATTTGAAAAATACTTCTATTTTTATATCCATTATTCTGAACGCAAAAAAGAGTATTTTTGATAGATTTTTCTTCTCTTCATGTAAATAAAATACCTTTTAAGTGTTTCTAGCTTCTGGAGAGACACTGGACTGAAGATGAACTGTCTTGATGGGTCTTTTATATGTTTTCCTTTCGTTATAAAATTTTGGTGAGTGAAATTTTCAAGATGATCAGCACTAATCAAATTCCGATCAGGAAGTTAATAAAAACATTAAAATAATGCATGTTTAGCATCTGTAGTTTGTTGCATTGACAAAATAAACGGCTCGTTGTACTACCATTGTATTGTTCATCAAATGCTAGTACCGTGTTTGACTATACATAGTCTGTGTTCTAAAGTTTAGAACAGGTGCACGACATTGCAAGCCATTGTCGAGACGATGCGTCAAAAAAACTTTATTTTTGGAATGCTTCTACATGTTAAATTTCATAACTACGTGCTCATCAATGTTACTCTTACTAAATACATCTGTTTAACCTTTCAAATTGTAAAAAAGAAAGAAAGCAGCAGATTTCGAATCATTTTGTTTTCAGCAGAACCCTGGATCGAGTGTTCGCAGCAAAATAGGATTTAAAAAGACAACCAGTCGCTTCAGTGCTTTACAGATAAGTTGAAGTCAATCTTTCATATTCTTTTATGTGTGTCACTATTTTTTTAAATATTAATCCACAAAAATTTTAACTTAAGATGTACACAGCTTGAAAATTAAAAAAGGATAAAGGTCAAGATCTAGTAAATTACTTTAGACTATCTTTTGGTGCTAGACGTAATAATCAGTTCAAACTTTCTTGTTAACGTACTTTACGACTCTATTAGTATTATGTAGAAAATAAAACTATTTTATGGAATTTAATATGAAATCATGTGAAAAGTTATCCCGGTCCCTGTATTTTTAATATTTTTTTAAAGAAGAGGCTAAGAACATAAAAAATTCCGGGTTTTTTTTTTGTTTTGTTTTTTGTTTTGTTTTGTTTTGTTTTGTTTTTTTTTTTGAGTCACTCTAGGCAATCTGAATGTATTTTCTTTGTCTGATATGTTAGAAACTGCTATGTTCATGACTGTTTTTCTTAGTATTTTTATCATTAAAAATTACAGCTTAAAACATGATTGTTTGCTTTGTTAACCTACAAATTATACCCCGATACGCCTTCTATAACTTTAAGAACAGGAAAATCCAAATGAGGATTTTTAAGGTAAAGAATGATAATTTCAAATGTACAGAGCTCATAAGTACATTTTTTTTTATTATAAAAAAGTAATGAATCCTCTTAATTCAGAACACCTTCATAAAAATACGTAAACATGAAAAAATTTTACCGAAACATGCAAATGGTTTGTTTGTTCATTTGTTTAACGTCCCATTAAGAAAATTTCACTCATGTTGAGATACTACCAGCACCTACATGTACTGCGACATAGGACTTCGGTTTATACGGTCTCATCCGAAGGACAGATCTCAGTGAATTCGAACCCGCGACGTAACTGCGCCGCGCAGGCGACTATATTAATGCTATGTTTACTGTAAAACAATAAAAAAAAAATGAGAAAAATGTGCTTGAAGAAAGAGGGAGTAAAAGGCGAGGACAATCACCCGTCAATTTTCAAACTTCAGGGAAAAGTTCTATTTTTTTAAAATAATGTTTTCAGTAATGTCATCTTCAACACATTTATTCAATTATTTTATTGAATGACTTATTGATTGATGATTTATTTTCAAAGTTGACAGTAAAGCATATTTAGTGGAAAATGGCCATATTAGAACCACAAAGAATTTTTTTTTAATATGAATGGGTCAAGTCTCCATTCTTCATTTACATTTAATTGACGGAAAAGTAAATGTAAAATCTATTTCATGTTTTAAAAAATGGAGTCTGGACCCATTCTATATGAAAATCGAAAAATTCTTTTAAAATTTATGATTCAAGAAGCTCGTTTATTTAAATCACACTGACAAACAACAAGACAAGTAGACCTTTTGGCGTAGTGGTTAACTCGTTCATATTACATGTATTTGTCAATAATTTATTCAACGAAATTCAGGAGGCTTAATGTGTAAACATTTCTGAAAAATAACTCTTCATGAATTTGACTTTTAGAATTGGAAAATGTCTTCTCTCAGAGCGGGGGATCGTCTTCGCCTTGCATGCCTTTACTCTTTATCTTTTCGGAAAGACAATAAAAGTTAAGTAGAAAGTTAATACTGATTTTTGTAATATGACATAGAATACTTAGTATTTATAAATTCCAGTTTTTGTACCTGCATTATATTTTATAGATGTGCAACAGAGATAAATGTTATTCTGACTCCAGTCCTTTAGTGTAAAAGGTGACGATAACGAACAGTGATCAATCTCATAAATCTAGGGGGGAAAAAAAACAAATCGCTAACAGGGCAAAAAACACGGACCCCTGGAAACGCCAGTGCTGGAATCAGGTGCCTAGGAGGAGTAAGCATCCCCTGTCGACCGATCACACTTGTTGTTTCCCTTTCTATTGATCAGGAAAACGGAGTACTCCGTAGTCAAACTAGTGTAAAAGCAACGGTACATGAAACATAGACAAAAAAAACAATAGGACAAGGTCATTATGAAGACGGCAGAATTCGCCAAAACTGCCAAAAAGAGTTGTTAAATTAATTGTATTCCTTGTATCATATACCTATTTTTCAATAGCCTGTCACTTTTTTAAAAATTGACCGTATCCAGAGCATCCGGTGATCTTGTTTATCGAATCAGTTGGTAGATATAAAAACAATATGTAGTAGATATTTGGCCATTATCGTTAATAGTCAATTTAATCATCCAAATATGAAATATGTGTGGCAGATTCTGTAGTGTATTTTATTTTAAGTTCACTGGAATATATCGAGTCGACTGTTAAAATGTCGTTATTATATCTGAAATGAAACGTCCAACAAAACAGTGACAAGATCTTTATCCTACAGTAATTAACCTTAATTAAAAATCAAGCATTTTGTTTTTAGAGAGTATTCATTTTAGTGATTACTTATACGTTTCATTTTCCTGAAACATGTTAAAAAAAGTAAAATGTTTCTAATTGTACAAACACATTAAACTGATATAGCAATGAAACCTTAAAGAGATTAATAGAATAGTACGGATTCAAAAAATAGATAAAATAAAATGTTTTCTTTTATGTTTTTTTTTCTTGTATTCGTTTGATTTACATTATTTTTCAACTTTTCATTAGTTATAAAGCTTAAGGACATACGCAACGTACCTTACCTACTGATACTTTTTCGAGATATTCTTAATTTAAGATTATAGTGCTATCAGATGTTCGTAGACAAAAAATCAGCATGCATTACCAGGGGTTTTGAAAAGATATCAATTGATGAAAATTCTTCTATAATTCAAAGAAAAATATACAAAAATTACTAAACATATATTCTAGATGTTTTGTTTATCCAAACTTGTGTTAGAAGAAGTGTACAATAGCATATATAGACATTAAAATTTAGCACACAGTTCCTTTAAGTATTGGAACTCTTCAACTCCAAGGAAAAAGACAAACTATGTTGCGTATGTCCTTAAGTGGATTTTTTTAAGAACAGTGAACAAGGGAAATGAAAATCTGGAGAAATAGTTGGAAGGTGGGCGTGGACGGAGAAAGGGAAAAAAGGCGAGAGAAGATGGAGGGGAGGAGGAAAAAAGAAATGTCAGAGAAAATTTAAATGGAGAAATAGACTAGAGGTAAAAAGAAGGAGAAAGGAAAGAAAATGCCCACAAACGCTTATTTTTTCCCTTTAAAAAATGCAAATATCTTCATAAAACAATATCAACAGTGTACACTTTATCCAAACATTAAGCATTACTTTACAATATCAGCCAATATTCCTTATTACTTTCATAGTCATCTGGTTAGATAACAATCCAGTGCTAAGGCATGCATGGGTCCATAGCGCATTGGACAGGAAAGTCCCATTTGGCAGGTAAATCGAACTGTTCCACGACAAGGAATATCCAGAACTGCACGACAGATGTATCGCTGCCACTGACCCACAAATCAGAACCTGGTCCTGTCTGAAGACAAGCTGCTGCTGACACACGGCGCTGTGGTGCTGAACCGAATTCAACAGGCGGGCGATGGCGCTGTCAGTACACAGAAAATGTACATGTTTTTCGTCGTGTGCTGGAATGTCCATGGCATTGAACCCAACAGATTCTGTACAGTCACTCGCTATCAGTAAGTCCAAGGCTCGCTCTATCACGTCAGTATTGCTCAGGCGCTGGTCTCTTGCTCGGTATCTCTCCTTTACAATCGAAATCTTCTCTCTAATCCTGGAGGACACAGAATTGTCTCCTGGTAATTCCAATTTGAACGCACTGGATCGCTTCCGTGCACTACCCGGAGTCCTTGGTGTTTTAGGAGTAGACGGTAAAGTATCCATAATTGAAATTGAAATAACGAGTAAAAGTTTTCACAACAGGTTTGTCAAACAGCTAGAATAGAAGTGAGGATACGTTGGCAACAAATGAAATGGTCCCTAAACAGGAATGTGTACTGGAGGGACACAAGTGTCTAGCCCCTAGATACTTGTGGGAGCTAACCCCTGTCATGACATTTACAGTAGCTGACATTAGCCCCTTGAGTACAATGAAAACTCTCTCTTGTGGGACTAAAATCTGGATACTGTACATGTATTACCAACTGATTACAGTAGCTGACAGATCATTAGAACCCCCCCTCCCTATCGCTCGCTCTCTCTCTCTCTCTCGTGTTTCTAATCCTATCTATTATGAAAACTGATATCTAGAAATATATATACTGAGAAATGTAATTATATAATTATTTAAACATTTTTTTTACATATGCTTCCAGAAAGCGTACGTTGCTGTTCATGTTAATATGTACATCTGAGTTACGATTTGTATTGACATCACATGTGTAATGGGAGAGTTTGTCATTGTTAACAAATCTTTCTCTAATTTTTTTTCTTTCATGTTTCAATTTTATCAATTATGGAAACTGGTGTCTAAAAAATACATATTATTAAATATAACTTTTCCTATATTTTGAACATCTGCATCCCGAATACATGTGTACTTTATTGTATATATGTTAATATGTATACATTTGAGTTACGATTCGTATTGAAATCGTGTTTGTAATGGGGTCGTTAGCCATTGTTACAAAGAGTGATTCAAATTACAGATTTTATTTTAAACTTTTATCACTCGTTATAACAATGTTTCCAGCTCTAGCCACGTGAAGGCCTCCCCAAAGTAGAGCCATTTGCACCCCCCTTCTTTATTAGGTATACTGTATCAATAAATTAGTCAAGTCAACTTATTTACAGAGTCACTGCCACATATGTCCCATGTAAGGCTGTCCTATTGTGTTTGGGAACCATTCCCTGACCTGCTGAATGACACAGTTTGGCATAATGTCTCTTTTGGGTCCAACAGACTGCCACACGAATCTCCTTCGCTGCATGTCAAGTTGAATGGCTCGCGCTTTTCGTTCTACATATCGACTGTCCTGCCACACTCCACGATGACACAACATTGTCCAAAACTTCTTATAAAGTTGTTTTCGGGAATGACTGTTTCTCCGGGATGGTAAACGAGGACTCTCTGGCCATCACAATTGCCGATGATTTTCATGTACGACGCAAGGTCGACAGAGGCAATCCGGACATTCTTCAAATCCAGGCACAGGCTGAATAAGGGGCTCGGATTCGGTCTGACCTGTTACAGGAACTTCTTCTTCCCTCTCAGGGCCCCAGTCCCAGTCATTGAAGGAGAAAAGGGCTCGAATAGCCGCTAGTTTTTCTTCGGAAAGCTCTAGAGTTATCTTGGACGTCATACCCGGTATTTCTTATAAGTACAAAACAGCAGTGACGAAAAAAAAAACCCACGTGAAGTCCAGGTTTAATTATCTACTCTCAATTATTTTTTTTTAAATAATTATCACTCAGTATAACAGCGATTGGATTTTTTTACCAGTGTGTGTACAAAGCGACTATTAACGCGGTACATGAAAGGGTTTGACGCGTGACCAGGTAAATTGTTTTCAAAACATACAAACTCAGATTATCAGGTAGCACAGGTAGCTGGCCCGTCAATCAAATCAGTAGCTATTGTTTTTTTTATGATTGATAGGCGGTATATTATTGATCTTGAACTAGGTAGATTTTGGGGGCGTTAACATAAAATTGGGTGTTTAAGTTCATTTTTTTTCCTTGAATTTGAATGTTGAACTACTTGACCTTTTGCTGTATCACTTTGTTCTACACGCGCGTCTCTAGTTCAGAAAGGGCTGTCAAAACCATCAAAACTTTAACAGCGCTCGCTTTTCTAAAGCTTAGGAATGGCAAGAATTTTGCAACTGTTGTTTAATAGACAAATCAATGTCATGTAAAGTTTTAAGTGCAATTTGCAGTTTTCTTGAATGAAAAGAAATTTCCCACCTAAATTATACTCTTCATAAGCACGCTGTTTTAAGTAGTTTTGATTGTATTCGTTGATATTTTATTTAATTTCCTCGTGTACAAAGTTTGTCATAATAATTCTATAAGAAGTTATATACATGATGTTATTATCTAAATCAATATTCTCACGATATATCTGTTCTCTTCCTATTCCTTTTTTTTTACAAGGTGACTTTTGGAACATAAGTGAATAAGTCAGAAAAGGTGGATAAAAAAGACAAGAAATAAATAATATTCAATCATTATTAAGTTCTCATTCATTTATCAGCTACTTCAGTACAAACCTACAAACATCTTAAATATTGGAAATATTCGTGTTTGCACCAACTAAAGTATGCAGAATTTATCCTGTACTTTTAACACATTTTTTTTCATATGAAAAGGTCCTCGCTCCTTTTTATAAAATAGTTTTCAATAATGTCAGACGACACGTTCAATAATGCACCCCCAAACAAAAATTGACATTAGAGTATTGCTATTTTAACAAGTTTACTCACAAAAATTAAGGTACCTTACCAGAAAGTACGAGATTCCAGAGGATGGCGATTTTTATATCATCCTTTTAAAAATTACATGAATTGCCAAATCATAATTTTTGACGTAATTCTTTCCACAGACATCATAAAACAATTTAATCAAGAGATGCTGATAATTATTGATATATTTTTTTTTTATTTATTATGAAGAGATAAAAGACAGCTATTTGAAGAACGTATTACCTCACCTTAAGCAAAACAAGGAGTTGGATTTCACTTTGTATTAAAAGTAAATTATATCAATTAAGTCAAGTTACGAGTATTTGATGGAAATAACACAAACTAGATGATTCTTGTGAGCAGCATAGCTCAATTGTTAGGTATCGGTTTGACTGACAAAAATAAAACAGGTTAGATCAAACAAGTAATGATTTTTCTTTATCCAAAGTATATGATTCTTTTTTTATATAAATCAAAAATGCGTGTCAACATCAATTTACTGTTGAAAGATTTCGAAATATCATTTTCTTTCTTTCATGTTAAAAATACAATTCAAAATCAACATTACCTACACTAGCAAAAAATACCATAGTTAACTATAGTTTACTATAGTATCAAAGTTTTTTTTATTTTTTATTTTTTACTATAGTAAATCAAAGTATGTTTACTATGGATTTCAGATTGTTTTATTTTTTGTTCTTCGATTCATACATGCACATGTCTTATATTAAATGGAACTATGTTTTGTATATTCACATTTTATCATCACTGTTATCGAATACAAGAGATTTTAAGCTTTGAAATCTCAAAAAGAGTTCCAGAGTAAAGTTTCGAAGTAAATCAAAGTATCAAAGTTTTTTCTATAGTACTATAGTTAACTATAGTAAATTTTCGTTAGGGTAAGTAGATGTATATTTCTACATCAACATTATTCTTCTTTTTTGACTTTAATGAATTATAAAAAATACTCATTCATGAAATATGGAGATTACGAGTATTCAAGCTCAAAAGTCCATTAAACAATACAAAATAGGAGCAGAGCAAACACGGACCTCTAAACATCAGAGGTGGGATCAGGTGTCATAGAGGGGTAAGCATACTCCGTGGACCGGTCACACCCGCCGTGTGCTCCTTGTTATGATCAGGCAAACAGAAAAAAATTGGTAGACGATTCAATGTGTAAAAAAAATCCCCTAACGATTAGTATGAAAAATGTCAGCATTTGATAAATGTGAATTATATACGGTACCAATTTGATGCACCAATTGCGCATTTCGACAAATTATGTCTCTTTATTGATGCTCAAGCTGAAACGTTGGAAATCCAAAATATTTAAATAAAAAAGACTTGGAAGAGCTGAAAAAAGGTGCCAAAGACTGGAGCCAAATACGTCGAAGGATCAGAGCTATGCATGAGTGAGGTAATCCTTAATTTTGAAATAAATTTCTAAATTCTACCACAGCAATTAAATATATATCAATATAACAGTATAATATTAATATAGTATTTTATATATATATATATATATATATATATATATATATATATATATATATATATATATATATATATATATATATATATATATATATATAAAGCACTAAAAATGACCAACCATCTTGGATTATGGTCAATAACCACTATTGTCATGTCCTCCCATTTGTGACCTTCAAGGTTGAAATGTTCCCCCACGGGTTCATTGAGTTTTTTGGTCCTAATGGTAGAACGGTGATTATTGACTCTCCTGCGGAGATCTCCTGTTTCACCAACATACTGTTTGGAGCAAACTTTGCAGCTGATGAGATAAATGCAGTTGTCTGTTTGACAGGACAAATTCCCTAGTATTTTGTAGCTGCGGCCTGTAACGGGGCTGTTAAAACTGTCTGTGTCAGAGCTGTACTTACAGAGAAGACATCTTCTGTCAGAGCAAGTTTTAAAGCCCCCGTTAGGTAATGGATTGTCCAATCTGGTTCTTACTACCATGTCCTTCAGGTTCCTCGGGCGCCTGTATGCAGCCAATGGGGGCTCCTTAAAGACCTCTGCCATTCGTTTATTTGAGTGGAGAATTGGCAGATTCTTTTGAAGGATACCGCTGAGGTTCTTAATTTAAGGACGGGATGGTATGTGGTTATCAGAGGGACCCTGCCTCTATTGTCTTTTTCCTTGTATCGTAATAGGTTTTGCCTGTCATGTCCCGCCATCTCATCAATAGCAGTTTGTACGGTGCGGGCATTGTAGCCTCTCTTGCATAAGTGGGACTTAAGGAGACCGCTTTGTTCTTGATATAAGGCAGGGGATGAACAGATGCGCCGAATTCTGGTGGCTAGACCTGTAGGCACACCCTTAAATGTGTGCGGGGGATGACAGCTAGATGGCATAAGATACAGATGGGAATCTGTGGGTTTCGTGTGGAGACTGAACTCGACTTCACCATCAGTCAGGGTAGATATAGTATCTAGGAACATGTTTTTCGAATTAGAT